CATGCATGTATGAGAGCAGAGCCGGATTTCTCTGTGCCATACCACGCCAACCCCAGTGTCTTTGAAAAGGCACGTGGCATGGCTTTCCAGAGCCTCCTGGGTTTGTCTGATCAAACTAAGTAGTTGTGACATTCACAACACTGACCCAGTTTCATCTTGCAGGAAATTCTTAAACCGCTATTACTGGAGGATGCATTTCCCTGCTGTCCGCCATGTACCAGGAAACAGATACAAATGTCCTATAGCCCGACTTGGTTTACCCAGAAAACTAATTTAGGTTATAACAGCTGTGCCCATGAACTGGATTAACTGCCAAAGGCTAGTGACAAACTGACCCGGGACCTCTAATAGTTATTAATTAATATCTTAGCTCATAAATGACCCATGACACTGGAGTTATTAATGCAAATTAGAGTTAAGAGCTGGCCCATGACTAGTTAATAACTGACTAAGGCCCCCTGGGTAACTGATCTTAAAATGGCAAATTTGCTACTATTTGCTACATGTGAATTATGGATTTGGTGCGCTATGCTACTAGGCCAAAATCCTGGGCTAGTGGGAGAGAAGGAATTCTCCCCTCTATCTTAGGTTCTTCTATGGTCCCCCATGACCGTGATATCGGAGGTCCTGGATAACCATGCCAGCAAAGCCCAGGAGAAGTCATTTTAGGGAACAACAGTCCATGCACATCCCTGTAGAACAATTGATCCCAAATCCTCTCGGGTACATCTGTGAAGCTCGGAGTGCTGGAGAGGAGAATTTGTCCCATTGTTTTAGCTATATTGAAAGGGTCCTGTTGGTTTCAGGTCACTGCCCTGGGGTATGAACACTGCTTAGGGACACTTCCACAGTTTGTCTGCAAGGCGGTTTTCTGGGCTGTATAATTACCGTGGGCCGGCCTGGCAGCATCTGCCTAAATCGCTTTGTTTGCTGGCATTGATCCTGCTGAGAGAGGAGTAGGTGGGTTGTGTTAATGCTCTGAGGCCCAGCTGGGTGCAAGGGAGGTGGGAGTGACACTCTAGGGGTGGTAGAGGATCAGGGCTGAGCAGGCTGGAGAAGGCCCAAGCCTTCAGAGCAGCTGAGCCTGCCGAGAAGGATTGAGCTAATCTTTGTTCTCGTGCTGCTGTTTTTAATAAAGTTAAATGCTCGGGGGGGGGGAGGGGTGAGTTTGGACTTTGCAGAGCATGTGGACTGTGTTTGTATAGCAGGCTGGGAATAGGGTGACCAGATGTCCCGATTTTATAGGGACAGTCCCGATATTTGGGGCTTTGTCTTATAGAGGTGCCTATTACTCCCCATCCCCGTCCCAATTTTTCACACTTGCTGTCTGGTCACCCTAGCTGGGAATGACACCAGCTCATCTAGCTATACCGACAGCAAAATAACAGCAATATTGCCCAGGACAACCTAGTAAACAGGAAGCCTCGAAATCAGAGCTGAAATAAACTGAGAGTAACATTGAAAATCTCACTCTTAGATACTCTTGGAAAAGGTTTTTTGGCACCAAAGTGCCTAAATCCCATGGGCGGTGCCTTTGGAAGTCTTGCTAGGTGCCTGTCTGCATTGCTAGATACCTGAATCGCTTTGAAAATCGGGCTCTTAAGCACGTCCCTTCCTAAACTCCATTGACTTTCAATGAGACTTAGGCTCTGAAGTGCCCAAATGGCGTCTGAAAATGGGACTGAGGCACTTAAATCACTTAGGCACTTTTGAAAATTTTGCCCCTACTGGGGTTGGGCCCATCTAACACACTGTTCCGTACTGTCTGGTTTCTAGTTTTCACTGTCTCGGTATAATAACCCCCGCCCTTCGATATCCCCCAAATCTTAACCTCTGGCCATAGGTTTTCATCCAGGTTCAGCCCCCCCAAACCTCTTTACATGAAATCATGGGAAACTGCATGCTGCAATTCACTGTCCACATGCCCTCGCATTTCAAATCGGTTCTGATAACAATGGAACTGGGCCCCTTTGCTGGTGCCTCGAGATGAGCCATAGATTGTTGTAGCCCGGCCGTGTCATCTCTCTCTAATATTGACTTAAACTAATAATTCCTAAATAATCTAACAGAGAGTGGGATCAGTCAAGCCAATGCACTCAGCATAATGCATCAGTAATACCTTGCAATCAGCTAAACTGCTGTGTCCCGGAGCATAAAATCCCTTACCGTATGTCTCCGTACGTGCAAGAGATGCCAAATTCAGATTTTGGGGGCTGTCTTGAAAACACAGTGGGCCTAATTCTGCTCTCAGCTATGCCGCTGCAACTCCACTGCTGCCGCTGGAGTTGCGCTGGTGCAGCTGGTAGTAGGGTTTGGTTTGGTCCAGTCTCTCAGGACCAAGGAACACAAGAGGCTAGATTGTTCCCCAGTGTCAACCTGATTTATTGTATTGGGGTTGTTTCCAAGGAGTGGGTCAGAGACGTCCAGGGTGGCGGCGCTGTTAGCCACAGTGTGCTCAGCTGTTGTCTGACCTGGGATTCAGAGATTCTCTGCCAATTCCAGCCCTCTCCCCTGCAGATGGTCTCTATGCTGGAGGGAACTCTGAAGGTGTTGGGGGGTGTCTCATTTAAAATTTCCCCATCAAAACAAAGAGGCCAGGCTGGTTTCCCGGTCTCAGATGGAGTTCTCCTCCTGGACACAGCTAAATCATGAGTGGCAGAGATGACTTATTCCCAGAGGCCATAAAAACACTGCCCAGGCGCCAATGTTTGCTTTCTCTGTGAGTGCCCGCCCCCCGTAGTGTCACAGGCTTTGCTGCAGGCCAGGAGGGATCGGCTTTGTTAGATTCTTGGCAGCCCGTCGCTGGGCTGTCTGCAGAAGACTCACCGTTCAGGATGCTTTCCAATTGTTTTGTCAACCAGCGAGTTGCCGCCGAGGAGCCATTTTGCTTTTGAGACGCCACAAGCACATCACCACTTCGCCTCCGGGGCTGGCGTGAGATTAATCTCCTCTCTCCGACTCAGAGCTGAGCGTGTAAACGCCTCTGGGGGGAGATGATGTCTTCATCCCCTCAGCAAGGTGCCAATCCCCCCTCCAGCGCAACAAATGTGTCAGGGCCCGAGCCGCACCTAATGGAAGTCCATGACAAGACTCTTCTTGATTTCTTCAGTGGGGTGTTGATCAAGCCTTTAAAGATTAATAACGATTGCTAATCAAGGGTGGTTTGGCTTACCCTGGGCTTGCAATACCCGTTCACTGCCCTCCATCCAGACACGACAGCCCTTCCTCAGGGGTTTTCCAAGCATTGCCGGCACTGGCTGGTTTTGAAGCCTGGGACAAAGTCTTTATAGTAGCTCAGTTCTGGCTGACCTGACACAGTCTGTGATGGTTTCTTCCCAGTGTTGATGGGAAGCTCCGAGCATTGCCACTGCACCGGGTCAAGTGGTTTTCCGAACTCCCTCCCACAATGCAGTGCTTAGTGTTTTAAAATTACCCAGAAGCCCCTGTTTGCAGCAACAGGGCTGGGCACTTGGGGGAAAGGTGCCCCAGGAATGCCAGAATGACAGGGGAATGGGGAGGATACTTCTATCTGTCCAAGTTTTGCAGCATCACAGGAGACACAGCGGCTATTCTGTTCATTTGATGCCCCTGACGTAACTTCATAATTTGGTATAGACACGCCCTAAGGACCACATTATGCCAGGTCTAATCAGGTGCCATTCATGGTCTTCAGCTGAGTTGCACTCATGGACACCAGGCCTGAATTTGGACTTTAGCATCAAAGGACACTAGATGCTGCATGAAACCAGGAGGCAAAAACCCATCACATTCTATGCAAGATGGCCCCCAGAGTTCCTTCAGCTGGAAACATGGAGAGTTTTTCAACAGCTGGGGGAGTGCCAAGTGACCCCTGATGGAGAGTGCAGGGAACGGAAATGTCTCGGCTCAGAGGGGCCATGGGACTGAGGAGGCTGACCCTAGAAATCTCTTAACTCGGAGAAGCCCCAGAATGCAAGGAGTGCAAATGTTCCAGCTCAGAATGCACTTTGGGATGAAGTGCTGACAAGCATTGGCTCCCTGCCTATAACCTTAAAGCAAGCAATATAGATTTGTGCGTGATTCCCAGCACACAGTCCACCCCACCCCAGCCAAGTGAAATGGAGGCAATCTGTGTGAATCTTGGGCCCACAGGGCTATGCTAAATGGAGTTTAATCGGGAGTGAGAAGATTGGGATGGGTTTGTTTTGAATAGACACATGCCCAGTCCCTACATTCTGATCTAGAGAACGATCCAGAACTGATGTTCCTAGACTTTGGAGAGGGGTGGGCCTGGTGCTCCATTTCTGGCCTGGCATTTGATGATACCCCTACACGCTGGAACCGGGTCCATAATCCTGTGACCAAGGATGGAAAATGTATCCTGTATTAGTGATGCAATTTCTGTCTCTCTCTGTCATGCAGCCAAAGCCTGAGAACGCAATCACAATCGCAGTGTCCTCACGGGCTCTCTTCCGCATGGAGGAAGAGCAGAAGATTTACACAGAGCAAGGGGTGGAGGCATATGTGAAATACCAGCTGGACCATGAGAATGAACCCTTCCTACCCGGCGCTGCCTTCCCATTTGTCAAGGTGAGCACCGTTGCTCCAGCCCCCTGAGATCCTTTGCTAGGGTGACCAGAGCGCAAGCATGAAAAATCGGGACGGGGGTGGGGGTAATAGGAGCCTATATAAGAAAAAGACCGAAAAATCGGGCAGTCCCTATAAAATCAGGACATCTGGTCACCCTCTCCTTTGCCTTTCCAAACTCCCTCACCACCAGAGCAAGGCACAAGGACTTGGGCTCATAGCGTCCTGGATAAAACTGAAGGTAAACACCAACCTTAGAGAATTCTGCTCTCATCACTGTGGTATCAATCCAGAATAGGTGTATTGGCTACAGTGGAACTACTCTGGATTCCCACTGGTGTAAGAGAGCAGAATTCAACTCCAAGAATCTAGAAAACCGAGGGAGAGAAGGAAAATACCCTGAGAAAACTTTAAGGGTAGTGGCTTCCACTGAACAGCGCGGATTAGAACTGAAAAATTCAGTTTAGGTAAAAATCTTCCCAACTGCCGGCTTTTTAGATGTGCCCAAGGAGTCCTGAGCTGTCCTTGTTTTGTGTCATGTAGAAGATTTGATTAGACTCTTTCTCTGCCTTTTGAGGGCCATGAAGGAAGGAGATATGGGTTCTCTTCTGACAGGGCTGTCTTCTCTGAAAGCGCCAGAGCATCAGTATTTCAGAGAGAAAGCAAAGGAGTAGTGGACGGATGGATGGATGGAATATGGGCAACAGGGCCAGTGCTACCATTAAGGCAAACTAGGCGGTTGCCTAGGACGCCAAGATTTGGGGGTGCCAAAAAGCGGTGCCCCCAATTTTTTTTTTACAGCGTTCCTGGGCTGGGCTGCCGGCGGTGCACTGACACGTGCGGTTCGGGCTCCCTCTCCCAGCGCAGTGGCCGCTCCATGCAATTATTGTCATTGCCGGTGGGGGTGGCGTGCTCGGGGAGGGGGCGAAGCAGAGGTGAGCTGGGGTGGGGAGCCCTGCAGCAGCTCCCCCCCACACACACCCAGAGGCACACCCCCCCCGCGGCAGATCCCCACCTCCCTGGCCCGGGGAGCTGTGCAGCAGCTCCCCACCCCAGCTCACCTCTGCTTCGCCCCCTCCCCGAGCACGCCACCCCCACCGGCAATGACAATAATTGCATGGAGCGGCCACTGCGCTGGGAGAGGGAGCCCGAACCGCACGTGTCAGTGCA